GCGGTGCTGAGGGCCAGGGTTTGGGGGTGGGATGGCAGGGGTAGGGGAACGGTTGGGCTGGGGGAGCTGAAAGGGCTTTGCCAACCCAAACAATTCTGTGATTCTGTGCAAGGGGTTTTTTTTTCCTTTACACAGACGAATGTTCCAGTATGCTCTTTTTATATTAAGAAACTTTTTACGTACACTTTATGCTGTATTTAAAAAAAAAAACCAAACCCAAGAATTCAGAAAGTGATTTCAGGCCATAGCAAAGTCCTGCGGAAGGCCGGGTGATGCGCCAGGAGGGCGTGTGGGGAAAGAGGCTGGGGGTGAAAAGCACGTTAAGGTATGCGGGTTGTGCTTAATGAGAAAGCAACGACCGTGGGACTCGTAACAACTGAGCAGCTACTCACGTTGTGTTCACTGTTTGTAACCCGCTTACGAACTATTTATGGTGTGCTCTTCCTGTGGATCTGAAGCAGGGCTGCCGCTGCCGCAGCAAAGTCGTCGTAATTGATGCAACCATCAGCCTTTACGTGTCCAAAAGGGATTCTTTCTTGCTCTTTTACAGGTACTTTTAACTGACTTGTCCCAGGAGGAACTTCCTAAAAGACAGAGGCACTTTCTCCTTCGGTCTTTCGTTATAAGAAGAAACGGACCCATGCACATTTATATAGCTTTCTAATAGCATTAAAACCAATGCCTTTTTTAGACTCCTATTTTTGATGTATATATCTTATTTGAAAAGCAACTTTATTTTGTGTCCTATGACTTAAAGTCCTTTTTTAAGTATCGAACGTTACCCTTAATCTAAAGCTGAGCTTTTGATGCCAGGTTGCAAACCTACTGGAATTATATTGCCTGTACTAAAATATTTGTTTTTCCTGTGGTTTTTAGTAAGGGTGGATCAGGAGAACAGAATGATTTCCCAATTAAAGATTATTGTGACTCTGTATATAAACAGATTTTTATACCTATGGGTGAAAGCACCTGTACATTCTTCCGTCATCACTGTAAAGATAAATAAATGATTATATTCCAAGCAGTTGAAAACGTGTTGTGTTGTGGATAGAGTAAGCAAAGAACTCCCTTGCTCGTATTTCAGTGTTCCTTGGCCAGGTACTGGATGGGCTGGGAGAAGCGTGTACCGGCGAGCGCTGCCTTTGCCCGGAGCTCTGCCTCAGGAAATCTGAACTCTGGAGCGGCCGTGGGTTTTTCAGCCGCGGTAAAGTACAGTTGCCTATTTCCTCCGAGAATCTGTCGACCCGCTAAAAAAAAGTAGCCAGCGTGACTTTACCGAGTTCTGCTTCGAGGTCAAAGTGAGACGTGAAGCAAGCGGCTTCGGTGCAGAAGGCAGCAGGTGCCAAAATTTGGGCTTGTTTCTGTCTGCCTGGGCAAAGTCAGGGCGTCAGGATGGCCTACGGCGCCGCAGATATTTCTGCAAAGTGAGATGGGTCTTGCACAGTTCATCAGAAAACTCAGGAACGATCAAAAAAACCAAAACCTGAGCAGGTTTGCTTAACTCTGGAGACTCACAGAGTAAATTGCCTGGCAGGTCAGAGTCGTTCCAAGGTTAGAATAAAGTCTGGGTTTCCGTCGCCTCCGGAGTCTCTCTTCTGCCCACACGATGCCGATGGTGAGAGCGGAGAGGCAGGTGAGCTTGCTGCAGGTTCTCCGGGGATGGCTGCGGGCTGGGAATCCAGGCAGAGTGAAGTAGCTTCCTTCAGTTTATAACTGGGCAGAATAAGAGAGTAATGGATCTGGTCTTTTCCAGCCTGGTCACAGAGTCCGGCTCGCTCCCGGAGGAAAGGACGGAGCCTGTTACTAACAGGCTGCTGTG